TCCAAAACATAATTTTTAAAAACTTGATAGATATCTTCATCTCTCATTCTTTCCTTCATTGGCAATAGGTACAGTATTTCTTCTTTCACAGAGTAGTCTTCGAAAACCATTCTTGTTATTACTATTAATTGAGATTACATCCAAAGATTCATCCATTCGAAGTGAATACCAAGAGCACCTATTCATATCAGCTTCAAGTTAATCTTTAACATAAGTAGATATTGCCGCAGTTCTTCTTTTTATTGTATTGCGTGACAACTGTAAATTGTTTATTGCCCTAATTATTTCTGGCTTATTAGAAAAAGTATCAAAGAGAGAATCGGCACCAATAAGTAAAGCTTGTTTAAATAATTCCCCATTTGAATATGATCTCGTGTTCTTCACAAAAAATGTGCTATTTTAATCGATGCCATAGTTACATTTTTTGATTTATCTATTACCTTTTTGAACAATAATTGTTGGCTCAACAATCTCTTCTTTAAACTATTTATTTCTTCAGTTCGAATAGCACTATGAGGCATAAATATTTTATCGAAGTTCTCATGTTCTAATTTAAAATGTCTTTCAATATTATATTTCTTAGTAGTTACGATGTGATTGCACAGAAGACATACAGTAGACCCCCCTATAAAATGGGTTCCTATAATTACGATTCCTATAAGACAGCAAAAAAATTGCGACGGTATCCGTAAAAAACGGTAAAAAACTCCTATAATTATGTAAAACGTCATCGGGCAGCCGAACTACTTTCCGCGCCGTCAAGCGCCACGCTACGGAGAGATTACTATCGTCTGTACAGTATTATATATAAATTAGGTACTATACATATAATTATATATTAATTATATATAAATTAGGTACTGTATATATAATTATATATTAACTTATTGTAACTTTATTGTAGTTAAATATATAATTTCCGCGGTCTGGCGTGGCGCCACGCTACGGAGAGAGTTTAGGCTAACTATCGTCTGTACAGTATGTAAATTAGGTACCGTAAGTCTAATACAGTACTGTAATTTTATACATTTCTTGTGAAAGAAACATTTCTTATTCAATGGCGATTAAAATTATTTATATTAATGATGTCTCCAAAGTTCATGAAGTTTTCACAGAAAAATAACATCAGAAATTGTGGCCGCAGTTTGCTGAGCTGTTCCACGACGAAAACAATTTCTTGAGCAACGGCGATGTCGAATGGTGCACACTTGGTAAGTAATCCTACAATTTTTTGTTTATAGCGTAGTTTATACGGATTATTTCCAAAAAATATATACGTATCTTGGAAATGTTGAGTCAGATTAGTCTAGAATCGATTAATTTTATGGAAGAAAACCTTTCAAACAGCCATAGTCCATAAACTTGACACGTGTCGGGCTGTGATTGGAAGGACTTGTAAGAAATCAGATTCCTAAAGAATGAAACGTATCTACTGTCTTGTAGGGGCGTCAACTGTACTCTATTTCCTTTTACTTCTACAAAACAATAGTCTTCTTCCCAATCTTTTTGGAAAATGTAAGAATGTGGTCATTTACTAGGACCTGCCTCAACCATACTGAGTATTTTTTATTGTTAAATTAATAAGATAAAGTAATAATAAAAGAAATTTTTAACAAAAAATAAACAGACTGGTTATAATACCTATATTTCGTAGTTATGATATAATGCAGGCTGATATAATGTATACAACACAAAACCTTTAATGTCAACACTCGTATGACACTAACTGTCACTAACTAAATGACATATGTGGCCTATAGATGACAGAACGATCAGTAGTAATAAAATAAAAACATACAAGATTGTACTAAAATTCTATAGAATTCGATAAAATAATAATTTTTTGTAGTGGAACTAAGTACTTATATTTTATTATATATAGAGTTATTTAATATGTCAATAAATAATTACTTGAAAATTTCAATTAATAAATAAGTAATAAGTAAGTTTAAGAAAATTCTGCTTAAAAGCTGGATCATGAAGTTGATTGGAAATAAAATAAAAAAATTATTTTAATTTATAGGGAATTGTATCATGGGCGCATAATAAATCGTTTACTGGTGGGGGGTTGCCACCCCTGAAATAGAGGATAGGAATAAGAAAAACACAAGAGGGTCATCAGAACAGCAAAAAGTAATATGCTTTCTAGAAAGGTTTGAGAGATGTAAGGATACAATGGGAAAATGCTGAAAAAGGATAGGTTTACAAGTTTGGAGATGAAATGATTTACATCAAAACTCATAAAGCCTGCATAACAAATGGAAGTGGATTTTGAATAAAAAATATAAACGAACAAATAGGCTCTTCTATAAGTAAAACAAAAATAAAATTTTCTTTTAATCATGACTAGGATGGAGTGAAGGTGGATGCCAGATCACCAGAAAATTTACCTATGCTGAATATTATTGGGGGAATATTCTTTAAATATGAACTGATTGTTTGCCAAGTAATGAATTAAATGTTCCCACTAAACTTTTTCCACTTATATATCTTATGAAAAACAATCTCTAAATTTTTAAAAATAATTTGTTTCATGACTTAATGTGCAGATAACACCTATCCATTAAAGTAATGCTCTTCCCTTCCAGAATGAAAGCCTAATTACTGCTTTTGAGAAGTTTTTACATTTGCTAGAAAATGCCAATAAATAAAACTATTTTCTTCAAATGAGACAAGTTTAAAAAAATGAATATGTTTGGATACTGGGTTCTAAGAGTAGAAAGTTCATCTATTTAGAAATCTCTGAAGATAGACATTTACTAAAGCCTAAAATTAATTAGAATTTTTTGGTATATTTAATTGTTTATACAGGTAGTCATTGACTTACAACTGTAAATGGTTTGGAGGAACCGGTTATAAACTGATTTGACCTTAAGTCAGCCTTTACATTTTTTGCCATTCTAATATTGTAGTATCACTAAATATCATTTTCTTATTTTTATACTTGTCAATCTTATGCAGGAATTTTTAACAAGTGCCTTATGGGCAAAATGAAGGACCACAAAATTTAAATAACTTAGGCAGGAAAACATCTCTGGAAACATCTTAACTGGGTTTTACTGTTGTCCCTTACAAGTTAAAATTTCTGTTTATACTACTGACCAGCCAATAGTTTTTAAGTATGAAGGGAAGTAGTTTTCATTTAAAACCAACAAATTTTAAAAAGAAGTATAGTCATGGAAATTATTAAAAGCACTCAAAAGTGATAAGGGTGAACATTTCCAGAGGACAGAGGAGGGAAAAACTAACTGTTTGCTCAAAAGGTAAATTGTTGGCATACATGCTAACATAATTTCATAAGAACTAAAATAAAATTTTATACAAATGACATACCTCAATCATCATTACAAATTATTGTATGCTCAGCTGGACACAGATTGTGATGCGAGATGTGGAAGTTGCTGAATCAAGTTGTCAGGAGACATACTAGTCAATAGTCATGGTCATAGTTGTAAAATCAATCAGTTGTAAATTGCATAGGTCAAAAGTCAATGAATACCTGTATGTAGATTCCAATAAAGCAGAACTTATTATTTAATTTGAAAGAATTTGGAACATAATAATTACGTAAAATTGCTGAACAAATCAAACATACAGGTTTGAGTCATCAGTTTCATATGAAAAAAAATCATATTTTATTACATTACTAAATATTCAAAATCTAAGTTGTATGAGTGAAATTTTTACCTATGTCATAACTGGTTTTGGTTTACTTTTACATTTACATATAAATAAATTTCAATTGTTAAAAACAATGGATATTAGTAGCAGGGAATGCAATGAAGCAAATGTTTCTGATAAACTATAATGGCTTGCTACTTTTGCCACTGTAGTTTATCAAAAACATAAGGAAGAAATTATGATGATTCAGTTAAAAGTTATATGGAACATATATAACACATAACTTGAATAAAACTGTAATGCAAAAATATACAATTTTTTTAGTTGCATCCCCTTGCTATATTTTTGGCTGCACTATTAATAAAGTATCAATAAATATTAGTTTAATTATAGTAGATTTGATAATATGTAATTTATTATTGGGGTAGTTGTAATTAATTTAACATTTATGCTGCATATATTATCTTGTTTGTATCATTATAGAAATTTTTATAATATGATATGAATGATTATGAAAAATCTGCAATGCCTTAATCTATACTAATATTATAAAGAGGTAATGTTTGTATGTATGTTAGTTTGTATGCAGCAGGTAATCTCCGAAACTACTCATCCGATTTCAAAAATTCTTTCACCAATATTTAGAATGGAACTTCAGGGTGGACATAGGCTGATATTATTCCGTTAAACATGGGGGATGGACAGTTCTTTACGGTAAGCCTTACGGAAAAGGTTACCGTAAAGAACTCTGCTTCTATTTATACCATTTTAGATGCAGTTTTTTCCGTTTTTGATTGCGTTTTAATAGGGTACGTCAACAAAATGTACACTAAAAAGGGATTTTTCGATATTCCCCCCGCGGGGGAGAGAGACAGGATTAAGGCTTACTCTGAAAAACTTGGCTTCTATTATACTATTTTAGATGCAGGTTTTTGCGTTTTTGATTGCATTTTAATAGGATACGTCAACAGAATGTACACTAAGAAGGGATTTTTCGAAAAATTTTCCCCCATTGGGGAAGTGTTATACATTTATAATAGATACATTTTGAGCCACAACAAGGCGTGGCGGGGTCTGCTAGTTAGTAAGTATAATTCAAACTGCTTTTCTAAGAGCAACCTATTGTATGCATCAAGTTATATGCCAAAAAGTACTATAGTTTGGCAGAAAGATTTTCTACATCCATTATCAGGAGTTACTAAATTTTAGTCCAAGAAAAGCATGCTGAATTGGATTTATATTTAGAAGCTTCCTTAGTAACTTGTCTGCAAGTTTATTTCCGCACATTCCTCAATACTAATGGAGATAAAACTTTTATCATATTTAACTTTTGTTTTGTTGTGTCATTAAAAATAAAAATACTAATTTAAAATACTCACCAACACCCAAGCATAAAAACGTTACTCCATGTCTAAATTTATTTTCTCCCAGATTGATTTTTTTCCAAAATGGTTTTGAAGAGGAATTGTCATCTGAAGGAGCATCTCTTAAATTTCTATGTGAAAATCTGGCCAGATAAAACCAGAAAAATAACTGAGTCGCTCCAAACAATCCTAATAACCTGTAGAAAGTAGAATTATCGAAACGAAATAAAACAATATCTTTCGATGTGTCGGCATTGATTTCGAATGGCAATCGGGTTTTATAAGGATCGAATGGTTTGCAACGCAAAGGCGTTAATTTGGCACATCTGACCGAATTTGAAGAAAAAGTCACATTCGAAATACAATTCTTTGTGAAATGAATGATACCGATTCGGAGTAAAGCCATTTAAAAACTTTTTTTTTGTTTTGATATTATAAGAAACAGTTATCGATTATTAATTATACTAAATTAGTTTTAGTAGTTTAAAATTTACCCTGTCCTTTCAATTCTTACAAAGAACTTTAAAGTTTAACATAAACAGAATTAGTACAAGCGTGAAGCATAAACCGTTTAAAGTCACATTGTAAATAACGCTTACAATGTTGCCACATAAACTAAAATATTTATTTTATTAAAATATGATATTTATAATTAACTGAATTTATAAACAAAATATTAATATTTATAATCTCCGAAAATATAAATCTGTTAAACGAATTTCTGTTGAAAAGAATATTTTTAATGAAACTAACACTATACTTTGGCCGGATGGCCGAGAGGTGAAGGTGGCAACCTACCTCTCTGGGGACTGGGTTCGGACCGAAAATCCCCAGTTAATTTTCAGGGGGTGGTTTGTCCGGATCTGTCGGACCCCGTCCCTCACCAGTTGGTCGTCTTATTGTGGACCTAGCCGAACTTATAATGGACTTGCTAAAAGAGGCTCTCTNAAAAAAAAAAAAAAAAAAAAAAAAAAAAAAAAAAAAAAAAAAAAAAAAAAAAAAAAAAAAAAAAAAAAAAAAAAAAAAAAAAAAAAAAAAAAAAAAAAAAAAAAAAAAAAAACACCATACTTAGCTATAATCATGGAACTGTAATATCTAATTTGCGGCCGGATGGCCGAGCGGTCAAGGTGGCAGCCTACCGCTCTGGAGGACCCAGGGTCGAAAAATCCCCAGGAATTTTTCGGGGGTGATCCGTTCGGATATGTCGGGCTCCGTCCCTCACCATCCGGCAGCCCCATTTCAAGCCTATTATGGGTTTGCCCCGGCTTGGGCAAACCCATAATAGGCTTGAAAAAAGAGGCCCTCTTAGTGCCCACAGGGCGGAAAGAGTTAAAAAAAAATAATAAATAATAATAATAGCTAACCGTGGTTATATATGATATTATATATATTATTATTTATAGTTGTATCCTTTCTATCTTATGGACACTAAAGCTTTTTGACTTTTTTCACGTCTAAGACGGATTCGTCCGACTCCGTCTCAATAGGAGCAATAGAGTAATGAGAACATGAGCAATAGAGTAATGGATATGTTCTCATTACTATGTTGAATTTACTAATTGTAGCTGTATATTCGTTCAGTGAATAGTTGTTTCTTTAATCCGAAAATATTTCTCTCGGTAGACTATCTCACAGCAAGTCCGGTCAATAAACTCTTTTATTGTATTTTCAATTCATATGCATTTCGAACTGGTTTCATTTTCCAGTCTACCGAGAGAAATATTTTCGGATTAAAGAGACAATCATTCATTCTCATTACTAGTTCATATAGGCGAACTAGGCGATGGCCTAGGGCGCTTGAATTTGGAGGGGCGGCATGGCGAAAGTATATGCATAAATTACAATAAATAATGAAAAAATAAATGTTTTTTGATCACAATCCTTTCACGCGAGTCGCTATTTTGAAAGTAGCGCCGTAGTCTCACGATCGCGATATTGCGTACTGCTAGTGTTGCCACCTTTTCAAAATCGCTGACTCGGACGGCAGGTGAGGTTTGTTCGAACAGAAGTTCCTGACGCATGCGCAATGTTATTTTGCAATGCAAAGAATAACGTATAGTGCATGCCGGTTCTAAATCAGTTACAGTTAGGGACTAGGGACTTGCGTAGGAGTAACTTAAGTAACTTAAATTAAGAAAGAACAACCACAGATGACTTAGCTCTAGCGGATATTGGAGATGTCTACGAATACGAACGTACAAGCAAAAAAGAAAAAAAAAGGTCGACAGGTTGCGCACGATATTCCCGGTCAAAATTAATAGTTCACCCGGACAGTGAATCGGTTCCTGGACTGTTCGGATGAAAACCGGACGGGTGATAACACTACGTGCTGCACATTGAATAAAAATTAGATACTTTTTTATATTGTTGCGAATTTTTTTTAAATGGCGCGACGTCAAAGCCATTTTGTTAAGATTAATCATATTTTTGCACGCCGCGCTTAAGTCAAGCTCCATCTGTGTTCTTTTTGTATAAAAATCCAAGTCGGATATGCGTAAGCAATAAAACGTTCTCGTTGATTAATCCCGCCATTTTTTTCTTGATTCATTCACGGATACACGAAAGTACAACAGGTTATGGGCCCAGGACCCGTGAATGAATCGCGACAGTCGAATTTGTCTAAGAGAAAGAAATTGAAAAGGCATAAATTGAGAACAGCAAGTTGTGTCGAGACACGTGTCAGCCATACCTTCGTTCATCGTCTGCAATCGCCATCTTTGACGAGCTTCAATGGTCGGTCAACCTCGTCAGTGTTCGTAAATGATCGTGAATTGTTACCCGTCATCACCGTAAGTGTATTTAGATAAGATACAAAACTAATTAAGTCAGTAAATTATTTAGTCTGTCAATATGGATATCGTAAAATCTCAAATGGAAACTTTGTCAGAAGATTCGCAGGGAAATATTAATTATATTTCATGGAAGTTTAAACTAAATCTTACATTGAGATCGAAGGATTTATATGACATCGCGAACGGAATTATTCTTAAACCTGAAGATGTGAATAATGCGGCAGATGTTGCAGCGTGGATTAAGAAGGAATTAGACGCTCAAGCTTGTATAGGTTTAAATGTGAGCAGTAATATCGCAAAGAAAATTGCAAATTGCACTTCTGCATATAGTATGATACACAAATTAGAAACCTTCTACGGTAAAAAGTCCGATCTCACAATTGAAGGGTTACAGAGAAATTTTTTTAATTATAAGTATGATTCAAACAAATCTGTAGTGGAGAATTGTTTATCAGTTCAACAATATGCAGAAGACTTAAAAGCTGAAGGAGAAACAATTAAGGAAAGCTGGATTACTGCCACCGAATTCGGAATACTGCCATCGAATTCGGAATACTGCCACCGAAACTATACCACTTCAGGACGTCATGGGATAATGCTAATCCAACGGACAAGAACATTGACACTTTAATTGAACGGCTTCGACTGGAAAAAGAAAGATTGAAGGAAGATGACAAGAAGGAATCAATCGCACAGAATGCTCTCATTTCAAAGCAGAAAACGCAAGGTAACAAGGACAAAAGTCAGCAGAAAAGTTCAAGAGTCGAATGTTTCAAATGCGGACAAAAAAACACACAAAGAAATATTGCAAGAATAAGCCGTGTCAGAAATATTTGGAGTATTGTAGGAAAACCTATAACTGTAACAATTGCAATCAAAAGGGCCATTTCGCAAGGGAGTGTATAAATGAGAAGTCAGACGAATCAAACAAAGGAGATAAGATCAAAGGACAACGACGAGCTCTTGTCACTGTAGGATTGACATCAACGAAAATAAATGACAGGAACTCAAGACGAGATCGACAGGATATCTGGTATCAAGATAGTGCTGCCACACAGCACATGACCTTCAGGAAAGAATGGCTGACAAACTACAAAGCACTGGAGGAGTATACGAAGGTGATACTTGGGAACAACACAGAAATCAATGGGATCGGAGTAGGTGA